CAGGGGTCCTGAGAGGGGTATAAATAGACAGGATTTTCAGTCATTTTTCATTTTTCAACACCCTAAAAACATAAGAGGCGATTTTTCAAACAACCTTTCTTCTCCAAAACGATTGGTAAGTGATTTCTAACTTATTTTCTTCACTCCTTAACATCTTTTAACATGATTTCAACTTAAAATCAAATATTTTCATGGGGAAAATTGGATGTTTTGGGTAGAACCTAGGTTTTTCAAAAAAATTGGGGATTTGGACCTCAATTTGAGGTCCGATTTCAAAACAAATTATATATTTGAGTTCGTGGGGGAATGGGTTTGGTTCGAACCTCGGGTTTTGACCATGTGGGCCCGGGGGCAATTTTGACCTTTTTGGGTAAAACTTTGGAAAACTCATATTCATGCATTGGGGTTGATTCATTTAGCACTTATTGATGTAATTAAGTAATTTGTGATTAGATACGAGCGAATTGGCGGTGGAATCAAGGGGTAAAGCTATAATTGAGACTTGAGTTGTGTTCAAGGCATCGAGGTAAGTGTTTGGTCTAACCTTAGCTTGAGGGATTAGGAGTTGAGTCCTATTTGCTATGTGATAATTGTTGAGTACGACGTATAGGCATGGTGACGAGTATCTATACATTGGTGTCAAGTATGACCGTGAGTCTTATATTGTGATTTTCATGATTTCGTTGTATTCTTCATGCTTTGGTGATGATTTCTAGTTGTTGTGAAAAGTTTGTGGAAAGATTTTAGACCTTTGAACATTTTGGAGCATTGGCTCGAGTTATATTATGAATTGTGAAAGTATATGAGATGATTGAACCCTTTGGAGCATTGGCTCAAGTGGTAAAGTGAGTTATGAAGTACAAGTCAAAGATAGAGAAAGAGTTATTTAAATGTTCCCTTGCCGGGATTTAATTATTTAATTGTTGTTCCCTTGCCGGGATTTAATTATTTACTTGTTGCTCCCTTGCCGGGATTTAATTGTTAAATCGTTGTTCCCTTGCCGGGATTCCTATATGTTCTTGTTTATTTTCCTTGCCCTTGTTTGTGATTGTTGTTTGGGTGAGGAAGAGTGTTAAAGCACGAAGAGTGATGCCGTGCATTGTTTGCTATTGTGAGGAAAGAGTGTAAAGCACGAAGGGTGATGTCGTGCCGCACGATGTACCATTCCGTGCCAATTCTATTGATTATATGTGAGGAAAGAGAGTAAAAGCACGAAGGGTGATGCCGTGCACATTTTATTATTCTAATTGCTTCGGTGAGGAAAGAGAGTAAAAGCACGAAGGGTGATGCCGTGCACATTTTATTATTCTAATTGCTTTGGTGAGGAAAGAGTGTAAAAGCACGAAGGGTGATGCCGTGCACTTGTCTTTGATTTTCCTGATTCTTGCTGATAATTGAGTTATGTTGTCCTTTACTTTTATTTACTGATTTTCTTGTTGTTATCGGTTCAAGTGCATTAATTGTCTTATTCCACTATTACTGTGATTCTTTATGTTGGCATTATCCTTTATTGTGTTACTTGTTATTATTGGCTCGAGGTATCCTTGCGCAACATTATGCCTTGGATTTATGCTATAATTGCTACATGTTTATGTGACTTAATTGCTACTTGACATTTAGCATACTAAATATTAAATTGCCTATTTGCTCCTTAAAGTCCGTAATTAATTGCTACTTGTCATTACTTGTTTTCCTCAGTGATTCATAATTATTGTGTACTTGTAGTCTTATGAAATCGTATTAATTGTTGCGTTTGTTGGAGTAAATTTCATTTGGAAGAACTATAGATTTAATGAAATGGGAGCGGGTGGTACGCCTACCACGAGATTTAGTAAAATGGGAGCGGGTGGTACGCCTACCACGAGATATAATAAAATGGGATCGGGTTGCACGCCTGCAACGAGTTGTGAATCGAGAGTGAAACCTGCCTTTGTTTTCCTTATCCTTGTTAGAAGTTGAATTTTGGTTTCCTGAAAAATTCTCTTTAGATTCTGTTTCAACTGTTATCTCCCCGCAACATGTTTCCCCCTCCCGTCCTTACTTGTTTATTCCTGCTTTACTTTTCGCTGTACATTATATAACTGCATAGGTTTATTTGGTAGTCTGGTCCTAGCCTCGTCACTACTTCACCGAGGTTAGGCTAGGCACTTACCAGCACATGGGGTTGGTTGTGCTGATACTACACTCTGTGCTCTTTTGCACAGATCCAGGCCCCGGACAGCAGCAGTAGCTCGGGAGCCAGCCTTCGGTCCACCGAGACTCCGAGGTAGCCTTGTACGCGTCCGCAGGCCCGGCGTCTCCTCTATCTTATATTTTATTCTGTTATCTCATGTTTTCGAGACAAATAACGTTATATTTCTTTCAAACGATTGTACTTAGTACTCTTAGTAGTCCGTGGATGATGTGACACCAATTCTTGGGTAGAGGCACATGTTGAATTCCGCATTATTTTCCAGCTTATTTAATTTAAGTCTTCCGCTTTAATTTCATATTCCGCTGTCATTTAAATATTTAACGCTTTTTTGTTATGATTGATAAAAGGATTTAAAATAAGTAGGTAGGAGTTTATGATTTGTGGCTTGCCTAGCTTCTACGAGTAGGCACCATCACGACCCCCGAGGGTGGGGAAATCCGGGTCGTGACACATTGTGACAGTCAAGCAGCAATAGGAAGGGCTGGGAGCGTTATGTATAACGGAAAATCTCGTCACATTCGACGAAGGCATAATACCGTTAGACAACTACTCTCTAGTGGAATTATCACAATTGACTATGTAAAGTCAAAAGATAATGTATCAGATCTGCTTACAAAAGGCCTACCTAGAGAGGCGGTTGAGAAATCATCAAAAGGAATGGGACTATGGCCGAGGACAAGTCACTATGGCAGCAAATCTACCAAGAAGACTGGAGATCCCAAGATCTAGGTTCAAGGAGATCAAACAAAGTCATTAGTGACGGTTCAACATTGTCAAATAAAATTTTGGTCCATTCTCATGATGAAGACAATGTTCAGTACCAAGGATAAAGTGTTAGGACTTTTTAATGGTTTCTAAGTTTGATACGGGGTATATCAAATAGTGTATCTACGGGATAACACGTTTAGGAATCACCTATATGAGTGTGAAGTATAAGCCGCTTCAAGGAGAGTGTTGTTAGGCCAGTTCTCTACGCATTCATGAAACCAGGCGGTGTTCATGGCTGAAACGAACACAACAATGAGAACCAAAGACGGCTAAAGGTTGATTTTGTGACATATGGCTGTCTAGGTATACACTAAAGTTCGACGGTTCAAAGATATCAAATCTACCGATTGATCGAGTATATCCGACATATGTTCACTATGGAAAGTTCAAAGGGAAACCTACTTATCCAGATGCGATTAATCCTTACTTGTGAATCACACACAGTTTTCCATGTATATTTGTTTTGGATAGCCATTCCCCATTCATGTGGGGCATTGTTGGGTTTTGTTATTAATAACAAAAGAGGTGTGAATGAAAAATGGCGGGAAAAGAAATGGAGGGAAGCGAAATTTTGAATTAGTTCACTTTACTAATGCACTTTATCCCTTATTAGAAGAAGGAAAGAAAATCTTTGTGTATATATATAGAGAAGCTCATCTTCTAGCTCTTAAAGAGTTAGGAAAGAAGTGGTGCCTCGCGCCGTCGTCGTCGTCGCTCGCTCGACTCAGCTTCGGATTGAGATTCGGATTTGGTTAATTGATATGATAGATTGATAATTTTTTGGACCAAATTTATTTTTCTTTTCCATCATTTAACATTTTCTTTTCTAAATATTTTCGCGCGTTGGAAGATCGCGGTATTTCACGACCAACAACTGAATAAACACCAAAAACGTTCCATTCAATAGCTGAATAGATACCTTATCATTGAACAGGCACCTTTGCACCTGGGACTCAACCTTGCTGGCTATAAATAGAGAGGCTTAGCTTCATTTTCGACCACCGAAAAATCTGAAATCTCTCCCCTCAAACTTATGCATTCTGCATTGTTTTTTCAAAAACAAAACGTAAGCACTTTGTGTGATTTTCTCCGCCATTTGAGTTCGTCGATATTCTGAGATTTGAAGTACCGCTATCACAGAATAGTTATTCCGTTCTATCCTGGGAGGAATTAATCCGCAACCTTGGGCATTGTGAGGGGATTAAATTCCTTAAGGAAACACAAAAAACTTGTGGGCTCGAAATTTTTTCTGCTTTGGTTTTTTAAACTAACGTTTGTTGATTTACTGATTTTGAATACAGTGTTCTAACACTCATATCATGCATGGCAAAGGATCTCTCATAAATCGCTCCCTAATAAAGGCGTTTTCATAATTAAGGCTCGAACCGAGATCTTTGATTAAGTATGAAGGAGTATTTACCACTCTACCGCAACCTTTGTAAGAGAGCCAATCCATACGTGCACCAAGCCACCAACATACAAAATTTGCGTCGTCACTAAAGTATGTCCATACCTACTTATAAAACTACAAGTGTACAAGTGGCAAATGAAAAACATATGGGGTGTTAGTGATATAAATTTTTCTTCTGATGTAGTCGACATGGTGAAAATAGCACGGCTTAGCCAGTTTTCGGACTGGTAATAAAAAAATAGCCAGCGTCTGCACAGTCATTACAAAATAGCTAGTGTTTTGCTGAAACGCGAAAAGTTTCAGCATAATATGCTAGATTATGGATTTTAACATATTATGTTGGAACTCCAGCACGGAAAATTCAAGCATAATATGCTGGATTATGGAGCTTCTCCATTTAAACTTTCCACATATTATGTTGGAACTCTAGCATATTATAGAAGTTTCTGTATATTATACTGGAATCTTATATGTAAAAAATTCGAACTCTAGCATACTATGCTGAAATTTTTTCAAATTTTTAAGAGTATTTTTATTCGGATGATATCTTTACATGAAAAAGTGACTAAATTTCCATTAGTTTTGAAATTATTTGTAAATATGGCTATTTCTGGTTTTTTTTTTCTCGTAGACATGGCAAAAAAGAAGGCCAAAACCCTTTGGAAGCGCCTAAAGAGCCCCAGCAAAATGCAGATTCTATAGTTTTTCACTCTTTTTTTTCCCCTTCTAAATACATCTTCTAAAATTCCGTTGAGGAGAAAATGGCACTGGGATTGCTACTGGGTATAGGGAGAGCTTTCAGAAAGAAGAGCACAGCGTCTCTTGACATTCTTACTGCTAAAAGGGGTCCAAGAAATTACTACAAAGGAAAGAATTGCAAGCCCACTGGTTTTCATACTCGTAAAGGTATTCTTTTGACACCTTTTTTTGGGTTTATACTATCTTTTTAGTGTTTGAGACTAGCACTTTAGTGTTATTGGAATTGGGCTTGGAAATGTTGTGTCTTTTGATTGGATTTAGAACCCCTTTTGTCCTTTCTATTGATTTAGGGGAGCTATAGGGCTGCTGATTTATGATTATTGCTGAGCTATTAGAGAGGATTTCTCATGTTGTGATTATTTCAATAGTTGATCTTTGTTTGGGCTTGAAACGGGATATGGGAGCTTACAGTTATTTGGTATTGAAATGAAATAGATCACAATAGAGCAGCATGGATACCCTAGTTTGGTTGATTGATTGATTGAGTGTGACAAAATACGGAAAAGATGCTGGATATATAAGTAAGTAAGTCTTAGACCCTAGTGATGCAATTTAAAGCCGTGCGGGCCTAGGCCCAAAGCGGACAATATCACTAGTGGGCTGGGCAGTTACATATGGTATCAAAGTCACTCCACGTGCAACCTTGAACGATGCTGGGGCAAACATCAGCTATGACGCAGAATCACTAAGAGGGGTTGTATAAGTAAACAAGCCGTAGACCCTAGTGACGTACTTTAAAGCCTTGCAGGCTTAGGCCCAAAGCGGACAATATCACTAGTGGACTGGGTTGTTACATTGACTGAGCTATAAAAGTCTTGATTTTGATTAAGTGGTTTAGTGAGTCCTTATTAATGTTGGTAACTAGAAATTTTTTCTTCCAAATCATTTTGCTTGCTTAGTTGCCTTCTTTAAAAAATTTGTTGTTTTAAAGTTCTACATTTGGATGTTCATGAAATTTTCCGGTTATCATCTTCTCTTTTCTGCAGGTGGTTATGTTCTTGTGCAAGAAAAACTACCAAATTATGTAGTTCTAAATTTGAGGGATTTTCAGGTACTAAGGTTTTAATTTTTTTTCAAAAGTTATGTTTTAGCTATCGTTTTTGGATTAAAAACAGAATGCTCCAAAAGAAAAAAGCAAAAAGATGCAGAAACTCTAATAGCCTGTTAAGCATGGAATGACATATATGCGATTTCATTCAGAAAGGAACAGATTGCCCTTCGGGCCGCTGTTCTTTTATGCTCTTAAAGTTGGCATTGGCAGAAGTAATGCCAATTTCCTGACTTGAAGTTTCTCTTGGATCAGAAAGTAAAACGATAAAGGATATCACAATATGTTCGCTAAGAGCTAAAAGAGAGGCAAATAGTTTGAGTTTGAGTTGGTTTCGTTTGTTTCATCTTTATTTTTGACAGTTCAAAGGTAATAGAATAGATTTGTGAACTGTTCTTCTCTCTATGTAGTTGGGGGCTTAGAGAAATGTGATAGTGAGGTTTTGGTATTTGATCTTTTACTTAGACATGCCCAAATATATAGGTGGAGTAGAGATCAAAGAGTATAAGATGCCAATTCCTATTCATCTAGAGTCAGTCTCTTGGAGAGAGCGTAGAAGATACCTAAAATCGTAAAGCTTCCTACAAACAAGTTTTCGGGAAATTCTTCCTCTTTTGACCGTGTTGGATTGAGAGTGTGAAAGAAGGTTCTTTTCCCGCATCGAGTCTCTGGCGTCCATTCCAGCTCCTGGCCAGGCAAGAACTTCTTTGAAAGACATGGCACAACTTCCTTAATTGTAAAACGGAGTGCGCCTTTCTCACTAGCCATTGCTGTTTTTGAGAATCTGCCCACTTTACAGTCATCGCCTCATCGGAGTCGAGTCGCATCAAGATGGATGAAATCTAGGGGAGTCGATCCCTTGAATGCTTTTACCCAGATGTAAGAGCTGGCATGTGTAAATTAGTCACCGAAAATTCAGCCTCTCTTCCTGGTGTGTTCAGATGCGTGAAATCTTCAATAGGTCGCGTCTTGCTGGGCTTGAGTCACACTACAGTAGCGAGTCCAGTCTGGTGCCAGATTCTTTCTACTACCGTCATATAAGCTCGTATGAGTACACTGTCACTCTCCTCTGACGGTCATATTCTCCCTGGCACTTCCCCATGGAAGTCAAGCCTTTGAGTATATTTTGGAGGATTTGGAGACAAAAGAGAAAAAGAACATTTGGTTCGCTTTTCGTATTGATAGCCAATTGACATCTACTTAGGTGTTTAGAGGTTGTTTGTCCATCATGGGAAAATTTTGTTGAAGAGGACTTTTAACGTGATTAAAAAGTTGAATTGACTGCTATGCGTAGTGGTAGTGGTTGAGGAGACTTTTGAGGTATGAATCGTTTATGTTGGCTATGGTGCTGCACTTTTTAACCTTGTGGTTTGCTTTGGATTGTTAAGTTGGATTTTGTAAATTAAGTTTTGCTGTGTTTCCTTTTTGCTTGTTTAATCTCTAACAAATTTAATTCGGTAGCTACGACTAATAATATTTGGTGAGTTAAGATATTCTTTAAGACGTATGGCACATCTTCTTTATCCAAACAAGTTGTACTGGATATAGATGAGCAAGCAACATTTCCGGAGGCTGTCTTTGTTATCACGGAGGTGGTGACCGAATTTTGAAGAGTAACTTTAACTAAGATTGTTTCTCAATGTCTTAAAAAAGCAGCCCGGTGCACTAAGCTCCCGCTTGCGTAGGGTCCGGGGAATGGACGGACCACAAGGGTCTATTGTATGCAATCTTACCCTGCATTTCTGCAAGAGGCTGTTTCCACTGCTCGAACTCGTGACCTCCTAGTTACATGCAACAACTTTACCAGTTACGCCAAGACTCCCCTTTAATGATCAGCTGTTTCTCAATGTCTTACTGATCAAAAATGAAAAAAGAAAAAAAGAAAAAAAGAAAAGAAAAGGAACTAAGATTTTTTCTCAAAGGAGATTATGAGGCCTATCAATTATTACTGTTTAAGTCCCTTTATACTGGGATTAGAGTTACTCGTGCTGTTGATAGCTTGTGCTCATGTTAATTATCCTTGGTATGTTTGCAGCTGAAGCCATATGTATCTCAGTGTGTTAGAGAAACTCAATCTATGGGGGCTGCTGATGCTGCTAAATGATTCTTTCAAAAAGCTGAGTGGGATGTGCTTGCTCAAACAACTATTACTAATCTTCCTTTTATGCTTCAGATTTTCAATGTGCACCAAGTTTTCCAAATGCAATTTCCTGTTTTATAAGCTCATTCCTTCTTAGATTCAAACATTTATGTTACTTAACCAGTTAACCTTATTAGAAGGGACGCCCTCGCGTTTGCACAAAGTGTTGCGTTTAGACGGTGTCATCAGCCAACTCCTTTATCTTTTTCTTAGACCACATTCTCTGTGCATGTATTTGGTGCTTGGAAATGGCGCAGGTGCTATGCGTGAACAATTAGGCGATCTGGATTTATGTATTATTATAGAGTAGTCCTTGTTAAACTGGGAAGAATTGGGGGAAGAACACACAGGGAATGAATGGAAGAACAAAAAGTTAGTAGAAGAAAGGCCTTTTAATGTATTTAGTGAAGGTGTTCATCTATTTGTATGAATCTCCTGTCATTTTGTAAGTTTCAAGCCTTTATAGATCTCCGGTTTAAGCTGTGGAATCAACCACTTGTATCAGGGTAGAATGCTCGCATCACATCCCTTGGGTTGCGGCTCTTTCTCGGACCCTACGTGAACACGGGATGCTTTGTGCACCGAGCAAGCCCTGCCACATTTTTTCGTCTCGGCACTTTTCTCTGATTCTTTTTAATTTATTTGATGTGGTCTTTTTTCTTCTTTAAATTACTTTCTTGTGATCCTACTAGGAAGTGGATGTGAATTTCAGCTGCCTAACTTGGGAAATAGTTAAAGTTGGTGGTTGTGGACTTTATAATATGATTCCAAGAACATAATAGGGAAATTACCAGCTATGTCCATTTATAAGTAGCTCATTACAAAAATTGGCCAATTGATAAAATATTACTAATATTAGCCAAATTAGCCAATTAGCTATTTGTAGTAAAAAAATATCAAATTTTTGCTTTGTTTTGAGTGGGTGTTATTAGAATAGATTGGGCACAACTTAAGGAGCTTGAATCTCATTTTTGGGATGATTTGGTGAAGTTTTGAAGTGGTTTGAATTGACAATTCGAAGTAAAAGCTGAACATGAAAAAAATGATATGTGTATCATTTGTGTATCGCATATGTATCATATTTGTATCAATTGTGTATCACGTGTATATCCATGTAAACCTGTGTGTGAGATACATGCGTGATACATGTTTGATACATGTGTCGCAGAAGACTTTTTTGAACTCGATTTAATTAAGAATATTGATACAAAACTAGTCCAAATCACCTCCAATCTTCCTCAAATTTTATATATTGACTTATCTATATATTTCAATGAATTTTAACTACACCCATTGAAAAAGTTCCTGTTTTGTTTAGATTTTTGGAATATTGTATAGATTTTTATATTTCATCACCTTATTTCCTACCCCGTCCATGAAATTTCTTTTCCGTCTTGTATCTAATGTTGCTAATCACCCTTAAAAATATGGAAGGTGATTTTTGCATGTGATTCTTTGATAGAAAGAACCCTATTATTTGGGTTTTCAATTTTTGTTGACTAGTTTTGGTAAGTCTATGACTAATGGCTAGAGGCTGGTAAGTTGAGATTTATATGGAATATTTGTGTAAGTTTCCCGAAATAATACTGTTGAAAGCAGTGGAGGAATATCTACCAAGCAATGCATAAGAAGCAAAGGTGCCTTAAATTCTTTACTACCTATATGCAAAACAATATAAAACTATTGACAACTAATAAGGATAGGGCAGTATGGAAAGAAAAATGTGGAACAAAATAGAAATTAATATTAGTTGGACAAAATAAAAAAAAGACTTTTTCATCCTCAGTTTTCTTCGTTTTCGATGAAAGAAAGTTCTCGATCTCTGAAAGTGTTTTCCTTCCCCGCCGAACCTCCCTCCCTTCGCCAAGTCTTTTCTTTAATGGTTGGGGAAAGCATTCCCTTATCTGAACTTCGGTGGGCATTCTTTCCGGCCTTAGTTAAAGTAGGTGGTGGGTTTGGCTTGAATCATTAGCGCCAAGCGTGAGAAAATGCTTGACGTTTGGTAATTTCTCTTCCGACCACGATAAAAAATGAGTTTGTAGGTATACATACTTCTATCTACTTGCAAGTGGTTGGTGCTTTGTCATCTACGTTAAAAGGCAAAAATGTACAATATTTGTCCATTTATGATAAATGGGATTCTAGAATTTGTTGGAACGTTCTAGAATATTGTATTTGAAGGAAACGTTTCTAATACCTATGAATTGTTTATTTAAAAGCCAAACGTTAATCCCTTTGGAGACTAATTTGAGATGATACTATTGTTTGCAAATTCAGTTTTTGAGTTTTTTTTTTATTATTATTTTTTTTTTAAATATGTGGTTTGAACTGTTTATGCATAAAAAAAGGGATTAGCTTTTTGTTAAAGATTCTCAAATTCAAAAATTTAAAATCTTTCAGAAACTCAACAACTAGTTTTAATTTTTTTCCGAAAAAAATAATTTTAACAGTATATGAAAGATTTAAAACTTAGTTTTGCAAATAAAAAAAAATAGTTCAAATAAACAACTTTGAAAAACTAAAAAATTTATGAATCTTTGAAACTACAAGCAAACGGGTTATTTTCATTGGCTTAAAATATTACATCCACAAAAGAAATTCAAAAACTGTTTACTTCAAAAATACATGATAAACTACTTATTATTATGAGTATTAAATTTGACTATATTTTTATTTCTTTTTTTAGACTAAATTATTAGAGTGACTTGTTTGGTGAACAAATAAGGGAATGCCAAGCTAGCAAAATGTTGACATGGCATTATATAATTGGTCGGTTATTCCCATTAAATAATTCTAACATAAATCCAAAACAAGGAAAATAATTCCAAAAAATAACATCAACATCAAATTATAATTGGTAAAGGAAAAAGAAAAGAAAACAAAAAAAGCGAGAAAAAGTAGTAAAAAAAGGAAAAAGCATTTCTTTCCTAACAAGAAACGGATTATTTTATTCTATATTCCTATATATATAACCCCTCGCAATTAGCAGATCTCTTAAAAAAAAACATTAGCCAAATAAAAAGGAAACCTCTGAAAACTCTCAGAACTCAAAAATCATGAGTAACAAAGCTGAATCCTCTGATTCGTAAGTACCCCATTATCAAATCTTTTGTATAGAATTATGTTGGTGTACCTGTATTTTGATTCTTGGTTTCTAAATTTTTCGATTTTTTATTTCTGTGATGTTTGTAGGAAAGGGACTAAAAGGGATTATAGTACAGCAATTCTTGAAAGGAAGAAGTCACCAAATCGGCTTGTTGTTGATGAGGCAGTCAATGATGATAACTCTGTTGTCTCTCTTCACCCTGAGACTATGGAGAAACTTCAGCTTTTTCGTGGTGACACAATCTTGATAAAGGTTAGATTTTTACCCATGATTTTGTTTTACTGTGTTTTGGTGGGTGTAGTTTGTAATTTTGGTAGCTCATAGGGGTAAAATTCCTGACCCGAGGGTCTACCGGAAGCAACCTAAGGTCGTCGGCGTACACACTATCCTCCCTGTACCGCACTTGTGGGATTACACCGGGTCTTTTGTTGTTGTTGTTGTTGTTGTTGTTATTGTTATTGTTATTGTTGTTGTTGTTGTCATAGGGGTAAAGTCTCACCTAATGGGACAAGGGTTGTAATGAGGTTGTGGCTAATGTTTAGGAGAATATGGATAATTGAGAATTCTAAATCAGGTTAGGGGATACAATCTTGACAAAGGTTGGATTTTACCCATGATTTTGTATTTACTGTGTTTGGTGGGTGCAGTTTGTAAATTTGGTAGCTCATTAGGCTAAAATTCCTGAGCCGAGGGTCTTCCGGAAACATCCTCTGCCTTGTTAAAGGTAGGGGTATGGGATTACACTTGGGTTTGTTGTTGTTGTTGTTGTCATAGGGGTAAAATCTCACCTAATGGGACAAGGGTTGTAATGAGGTTATGGCTAATGTTTAGGAGAATATGGATAAATTGAGTATTCTAAATCAGGTTGGAGGATACAATCTTGATAAAGGTTCAATTTTTACCATGATTTGTTCAAGTTTTTGCTTTTACCAGTGTTTTGGTAGCTGCAGTTTGTAAATTTGGTAGCTTATAGGTAAATCTCAACTATGGGACAAGGGTTGTAATGGGGTTGTGACTAGTGTTCGGGAGAATGTGGAAAAATTGAGAATCCTAAATAAGGTTGGGAAATTTGCTTGGAAATTTGACCTGGGGGTTCTTTGGTTTCTGAATGCTCTTCAATTTTTCTATTGATGGATGATGCTTTTATCCCTGTTTGTGCTTAGCTATAGGGTTTTATAAGATTAAGGATGCGGAAAACAGTGAACAGCTTTCAGGGGAAGTTTGGTGCCCTTGCTTCTTGTTTGCTGGGAATCAATTTTGCTAGTGAAATAAGCTCAAGGACTATGTGTTTTGTGATATAAGCTGAAAAGGCCAGTTCTTTGTGTTGTTCTGTCTCTATTTTTCTCACTCGTAGATATTGTAGTGCCTAAAGAAACCATGTAAAATAATGATAAGTGTTTAGTGTCCTTTGTTGATCTACTTTATTGACCTTTTTATTTCAGTCTGTTTTTGGTGTGTAAATGATGAGTTGGTATAGTTAGTTCTAAATATTATTCCTTTTCTGAGAATTGATGCCGCAAGCTTGAGAAATTGGTGTGTTCTGTAGCTTCTTTGTATTATTATGGTGATGTATGAAGTCTGTGATATGTTGATGATGTTTTATTCGTAAGATTTTCAGTTCTTAACGTTGTATTTTATTGTATAGGGAAAGAAAAGAAAAGATACAATCTGCATTGCCCTTGCTGATGACACCTGTGATGAGCCAAAGATTAGAATGAACAAAGTTGTCAGAAATAACCTTAGGGTTCGGCTTGGTGATGTTGTCTCTGTGCATCAATGTCCTGATGTCAAGTACGGGAAACGTGTGCACATTCTTCCCATTGATGACACCATTGAAGGGGTTACTGGAAATCTATTTGATGCTTACTTGAAACGTAAGTGTTTCAGATTTCTACTATCTATTTGCTTATTGCTTATTAACATTTTTGGATACGTGATATTATGTATTGTTCTTCTGGTAGAGTTTAGGTTTTAGTTAGCTGATGGTATTCTTCTGATGAGCACTATGTCTACAAAAACTTTGTGCCAATATCCTGCTTTTGGAACTTTATTTTTATAAGTTTGGTAGATTTGAACTTCTAACTTAGAATCTGTTGCGACTTTTGTTATGTTTAATTTGCATGAAGCAGATTCTCAAGGTTTTTTCTTTCTGTGTGGGGTTTTATCTGCAAGTGTTGAAAGCTTTTGTATTGGAACTGAGGAGTTGAAAACAATAAACTCAGCTTTAACCATTATAGTATTTTTGGATGAGCCTCTGATTCCTAGTCATTGTTTACATATAAAAAAGAATTCCTAGTCATTGTTAAAATAATTGGCTTAAAGACT